CAGCAGGAGACAGATCTTCTATTTGTAAGACAGAAAATGGTGCAAGGAAAAGAAAAATGTTTAATTATTGCTAACTAGTCACTTTTGCTGTCTGATTAAAGCGTATATATTCCCACCTTCATTGTCTTTGCGCTTAATGGGGAGTCAGGAAATGGCACCAAAAATAGTATGCACTCTGTAAGAAAATTTACCTGTGTATGTTGTAGCTGTGAAGAGGGATTAAGAGGGTTAGACACTGATGGGACACAGGAAAGGAAGAGATCACACTGTTTATTCCACTTCCAAATACACATGTTCTTGGAAGTGCAGTTCTGGACATAGTTCTTGCATTATTTATTAATATTAGATACCAAGTCCTTCTCAGCATATTTATTTTGTTAAATTACACATCTGAAATTAAATACAGCTTCATGTCAGCATTAATGTTCTTCTGTCTGTGCTTATAGCTATTATTGAGAAGAGGTGACTTTCAAGTTAACAGCATGTGGATTGATAAGGCAGCAATTATTCTATCTGAGTACTTTCTGGAAAGCTTAGCTCAAGGGCAAATTGTGTTTCCTTAGGAGTGTGGGATGCTGAATCCCCAGCCTGCAGGTTATCGCCAAAAGGGGTGTTTGTGGCTGTAATGTGCTTGGCTAGCATCTGAGAAAACACCCCAGAACTGTACACTCGTGGACGTTTGAAATCAGTGGCGTTTCTTGGGGGGGTACAGGAGGGTGCCTCCTGGGCTTATTTCTGAGTCACTGGAGGGTTTCTGCTCTTCTCTCCTGCTCTCTGATGCTCTTCTCTTCATTCTCAGGTAGTAGATCCGGTTGGCTTCTGGGTAGGTGACTTTGCAGAGGGGGATTTTGTAGATAGCTGGGTTGTCTGTATTTATCAGCAAAAAGAGCAGTGCGGAGATGCAGAAAGGCCAAGTGCAGGGTGGCAGCCCAAACTGGGAGGGGAAAGGACAGACAAATGTATGTGTTTTGGTACCTCTTTTTGCATGTTCCCTTTGCTTACTTCTGCCTGTTGCTAATTTCTTGCTTTTGAGAAGCTGGGAGAGCCCGTGCTTTCCCTGAGGACAGTGTGACATAGGGCATGTCTTCTTCAATGCCCCCGTACAGGATCCTCCATCTGGATCCAGAGGAGGATGCCCAGATGCAGGAGCCTTCATGGTGGAGGGTACTTGTGAGCTAGGTGCCTGCTGGTCACTGGAGGTCTGGGAAGATCCTCTGCTACCTAGTGTCGATTCAGCTGCTCACATAGAGTTATCTAGTTTATCTGGAATGTACGGGGCTGTGTAAGGCAGCCCACGTTGAAGACCTCAGCCCTTTTGAAGTTGCAGCTGTAGGTGCTGAATGGCACTTGGCACTGATATTGAAGCAAATGAATCAGGCTCCAGACTCTGCTGACTGTAATGAAAGTGAAGACACCCAGCTCACACGTAGACGTTTAAATTCTCTAATACATGAGCCAAATCCTACACTCACTGTCCTGTAAGAAGTCATGTACTGAGAGTACTATTCATACAAATTCACCATCCTCAATGCCCGTGTGTTACTGGCATTGCATCCAATCCTCAGTCCTACTCTGTGACCCCATCTCTTTACCTGACTTGGGGTTTGCAAAAAACAAGATCATAAGAAGAAAAAGTAAACGTTTTTTTTTTCTGATGTGCTTAACAAAGCAACCCATCTGCACGGACCTATATGGTACTGAGTGGATGCCAGAAGAATACATTTAAAGCATGAAGATACTAGTTCTAAATATTTTTCCTTTGAAGTTACTAAATCAATTTTATTAAAATATGGTTTTGCTTTAACCTCTCAGATCTTAAAGAATAAGTAAAGCTGGACATTTCTGGCTTCACCTCTTTCTTGATCTGCCCAGATATGATGCTTTTGTATTTAAAAGAACAGTCTCCCTCTCATTTTAGTTCTCATAACCAGATCAAAATTAAATAATATCTGTGGGAAGGGTGGGAGAAAGACCTTGGAAGAAGCAAGTAAGAATTGAGACCATTGGGAATTGTTCAAAAACATTGCCTGCAATGAGGTATTGCACTTCAAACCATATGCTGTTTCTCGAATTCACACATATGTGTGCAGTCCTACTGTGGATAACATGCTCCAAAGGTCTTTGAAATCCTACTGTCAGCTACTGGAGTCTGCAAGTGCACAATTCAGCTGACACAGAATTTGTCCAAGAGCTGCCTCTGGCTGCAGCATTCTCTCTTCAATGCTGTCAAAACTGACATGGAGAATTTTGGGGTAGTTCCTTAGCATTATGTCATAACAAATCAAAATGCAGTTAAAACAAACAAGGAAAAAAATCCCACAACTCCCTCCCTCCTCCCCCCAACTTACCACAGACAGGGCATTAGCAATAGCTGCTCCAGAGTAGGCACAAAATAATGCTGAGAGAAAAAGACCAAAAACAGATCAAGGTGAGTAAAGTCTCTCCAAAGAAATATTGTCCAAATGCACCATAAATTATCATCCCAGTTACCTGATGTGAGGATTAGTGTTAGAATTCAACAGTTATTTAAAATGCCCCAAGGCTACATCTGGCCATAGAGACTACTTTTGGTCCTATCCACTCTGTAGAGATGGCTGGTGAATGAAGAATGCAGTTTTGTTAAGAGGAGGTAATGGTGGCATTTCTTTTATCAGTCGGCACAACTTGACCTGAGTGCAGTGGGGGATTATAGAAGTTCTCCACTGTTATGGGTTTGCGTGGCAAGGTTTTGGTGGTGAGGGGGCTGTAGGGGTGGCTTCTGTGAGAACCTGTGAGAAGCTTCCCCCATGTCTGATAAAGCCAGTGGCAGTTGGCTCTAAGACGGACCCGTTGCTGGCCAAGGCCAAGCCAGTCAGTGATGGTGGCAGCCCCTCTGTGATAACATGTTTAGGAAGGGGAAAAAACACATGGTGAAGTGGCAGTCAAGAGAGAGGAGTGAGACGATGTGAGAGAAACAACTCTGCAGACACCAAGGTCAGAGAAGAAGGATGAGGAGGACATGCTCAAGATGCCAGTGCAGAGAGTCTTCCCTTGCAGCCTGTGATGAAGACCATGGTGAGGCAGTTTGTCCCCCTGCAGCACATGGAGGTCCATGGTGGAGCAGATCTCCACCTGCAGCCCATGGAAGGGACCCCATGCCGGAGCAAACGGATGCCTGAAGGAAGCTGTGACCCCGTGGGGAGCCTGTGCTGAAGCAAGGTCCTGCCAGGACCTGTGGACCCGTGGAGAGAAGAACCCATGCCAGAGAAGGTTTGCTTGCAGGGCTTGTGACCCCATGGGGGAATCATGCTGGAGCAGCCTGTTCCTGAAAGACTGCGCCCTGTGGGAAGGGACCCATGCTGGGTCATGTTGTGTAGAGTTGCACCCCATGGAACGGACCGACGCTGGGGCAGTTCATGAAGAACTGTCTCCCATGAGAGGGACCTCCTGCTGGAGCAGAGGAAGAGTGTGAGGAGTCCTTCCCCTGAGGAGGAAGGGACTGCAGAGACCACATGTGATGAACTGACTGTAACCCCCATTCCCCATCCCCCTGCGCCGCTCGGGGGGAGGAGGGAGAGAAACGGGAGTGAAGTTGAGACCGGGAAGAAGGGAGGGGTGGGGGCAACGTGTTTTAAGATCTGGATTTATTTATCACTATCCTACTCTGATTTAATTGGTGATTAATTAAACTCCCTTTTCTCCCCAAGTTCAGTCTGTTTTGTCCCTGACAGTAATTGGTGAGTGATCTCTCCCCGTCCTTATCTCGACCCTCGAGCCTTTCATCATATTTCCTCTCCCCTGTCCAGCTGAGGAGGGGGAGTGATAGAGCGGTTTTGGTGGGCACCTGGCATTGATCCAGGCCAAACCAAAACATCCACTAGTGTCTGTCCTGGGGCTCCAACCACAAGCAGTGAGTAGTGGGCCTCCTGGCCTCAGGATGTCAGAGGTGACAAAGAAGGAGGTAAGGCACTTGAGGACAAAGTCAAGGAAGGGAAAGCTACTGAACAATCCAGAAACTGTGCTCAGGACAGAAAACTACTGAAATGCAAATGGTTGGAGGCTGGCTGAGTCTTCATGGGAGTTGCATATATGCTACACTGTTCTTAAACTCTTCCCATAAAGTCTGTTTTTGGCTGCTGTTGAAGATGGGGTCTTTGGGTAGGTGTATTTTAAACTGACCTTGTACAACAGCTCTCTTCTTATGACACGCTTCCTCTAATGATACATAAAGTTATGAAAATGCTGCTTCTATGAATCGGTTGAGTTGCTAATTTGTTAAATTTCTGCTCATGTCATAACTTGTGTTCCTTTCACAAAAAGTACCTCCATTCTTTCTAGATGTTTTTGTTATCAGGGTCTAAAAGCCCTTTTTTCTGCACTTGCAGCTTGCACATTCAAGCTCAACTCTAATGCCATCACAGAAATACCTCTTGCATAGTACCTAGCTTTGCAGCAGAGTGGTAGCCCACAGTTGACTTTAGATCTGTACTACTCATAGACTGCCTGGCCACATAAATTTTTGTCTTCCCTTCATGTAAAAGGTACATACCACAGGCAAGCGCCAGCAAATGAGTCTGCCAGGTCAAGGCATAGAACATGCCCCCAATAGCAATGCAGGCGACTGCGCAGTTAAAGTTGTGTAAGCCAAGGTAGATGCCGTCAAATGGAGATGCAATGCTCAGTGCTGCAAGACAAAGGGCAAGGCTGTGAGGTCAGGTATGAGAGGTATCTTCAGGAGGACCTATCACTTGCTGGGAATCCATCGTCCCTTCCCTGTGACCTCCAAACAAATTTAATCATGCTCACACTTGCAAAACATGCATATGCAGAATAAGGATGAAATCAAATGAATCTCTTTATTTTGGCGCTCTAATAATGTCCCTAGGGTTGGAATTTGGCCCAATCTGAAAGGGTTCTTTCAGGTAAAACTTAGTGTGTATGCACCAAGTGTGTTGCAGTTAGTCCCCCAGATGACCAGACTGAAGATCCAGCCGGAGTGTAGGAGGACGTTCTCACCTGGGTCTCCTTCTTGCAGAATGCTGTGTTCACATGCACTGTTTAAACCTCATACATACCCTGATCTTGAATATCAGAGGTACAGCTGAGTGTCTTTTGTGGGAGTAAGCAGAGTTTTCCATCTCTTCCTGGTGACCTTTGCTAGAGGTGGTCTAATTAGTAGAGATGGCCACTCCATCAGTGTTGTGGAAATTCTCCACTGGGAGCTGAGGGTCTGCTCCAAACCTGACCCCACAGGTTCTTCTGCAGGATGTCTCATAGGCTTCAGGAGTACCAGTAAAAAGGAGCGCACAACATGTAGTGCACAGGCCACCTTCATGTCACACTGGAGATTAATACATTTCCTGCTATATTGTCCTCATTTGTCTTCTGTTTCATCTCCATGCTTATCCCCAGATACTTTCCCTTGACCTTTCTCTTCTACCTTAAATGTCAGACCTGTACAAAACTTGCCAAATGCTCTTAATTGTACTAAATGTGGATAGTTTTGTTTCGAAATGCAAATGTAAGGCAGCTCACATCTCGTACAAAGTGCTTCAGAGCACAGAGAACTGACTGTTGGACAACTGTGCCTTTTCCAAGGTTGTGGTCTCAGACTACACTTATTCTGCCACATTTTTGTATTACAGGCAGTCACATAAGTGGCATTAATCTTGTCTAACTTCAAGGGTCAGATTCATCTCCCTTAACTTACGGTTGTTGCTGTGGTTAGTGGAGAGACAGGCCATTCTGAGTGGCATTCATTTAGCTGTTTTTACAGATCTGTGGCCGGATAGAACGAACTGCATCTTAGAAAAACCTATTTCTTTTCCCTGACCGATCAGCTCTGAGGCAGACATATGCTTGTAGTGGTAACTTGAAACACTTGTGATGGCAAGAGATCAGTTCTGAAATGATTTCTTTATCATTATGTCCATGGGATTCATCACATCCAGTGGCAGGAGGGTTAAGCAAGGTGGAACAAACCATCTGCCTGAGTTACAAACCTAATAAAAAATCCAAAGCTTAAAGAAAACCTGCTTCTGTTCATGATTTCATCATATTGTTTGACCTTTAGTAAAACCTTTCAAATTTAGAGACAGTACATCCAAGCCCATACAATTCTAAAGTCTGGACAGAGCCATATGATGGCTAGTGTCAAGATACCCTAGTTAAAAAGTTACTTTGGCAAATATTTCTTACCTGCAAACATCCCCACTATCGATCCAATTGCTGCATGTAAACAAATAAGTGGGGAGGAGATAAGTAAAGCAACAAGGATGATGCCTCCAGTCCAGGGGTTTTCACAACCATATACTTGACCAACACCGACTGGGATGGATTGCAAGAGCTGCAGCAGCCAGTAGAAAAGGGCATGTTATTGTATCTATGTACTTGGAAGGACACAGCAGTTATATTGTCCAAGCTATTGATTGGAAAGGAAGGAAAGGACCCTGGCTCTGATTGGGACTGGTGGGTAAGTATGGGCACTCATGCCCTTCAAACCATAGTTCACGGTTTCGTTCAAACATCACCAGTCCAAGACTGACTTTTCTGTCTTTAGGGATGGTGTTATGGTAGATGGGGAGTGGGAGGGATAGGGCTTTTTAGGTTTTTTTTTTTTGTGTGACTTTAGTGAGGGAGAAAAATGGTAACTTTCCTAGGCACTAATACTATGGCGGGTCTGGTTGGTTTATTATATATTATATGAAGTATATCAGATACCCTTATGCTGCTTTGAGAAGGTGATCCTCCAGAGCTAAAGCTAGACCTGAGGGGAATGGGTGTACATGAGTTTCTGTCTCTCTGGCAACCTGATGTTTCTTCTGCCTTTTCATATTGTCACTGACTGTCTTGCTGATGTTCTTTTAACCACATCTGGACAGCAGGAGTGCATATCCAGGTGTGCTCCTGTATTGACAGCACTCAGGGCTTGTTTTGGGGCAGACTGACTTTAGGTGGAATGAGAGGCTCAGCATCTCTGTTCCCTCAGGCTCAATCAGCACTTCCATTGGATCAGCCAGGTCGGTCCCCAGGGCTTTTACGGTCCTGTCCACTACAAACTGAACTGGGCCATTTGTTTCTGTGAATTGGTACTGGCTGTACAGATCACGTAGCCATTCTGGCCCATGTGAAATTGTTATCCCGAGCTGAATGCCTTCACACTCACCCTTTAGTGAAATAACATAAACTTTTTGGAGTGAAGCTTACCAGTGGCACATTGATTGCAGACCAGGTGATGTTGGGCACTGACACTACAGGCTTGATGAGGGTCATAGGGAAGAAGGGATTGTAGTGTCCTGTGGCTGCAAAGTACAAAGTCACCGCAATATTGAAGGGCAGAGTGAAAACAGGAAGGTCCCATTTACTGAAGATGGATCCCAAAGCACTGTACAGGATTGGACTGAGGACAAAAGGAGAAGAGAAACAACTATAAACTGTTCACAACAATTATAGTGGTGGAACAGCTTACCACTTTGGTTATAAGCTCTGGTAAATGCAAGCCAATAGCATTTGTTTTATAAACATCAGGTAGTGAATCCCCGAATATATTAGTTTGCATCAGACAAATAGTTGAAGAACGCTGTTGATCTTATTGCAACAACTATCGCATCCATTTATGGATGGTGTAAACTCCACACCCTCCTCTCAGGACAGCTGGCTAGTGTACAAGCGCTCCGCTAGCTGTGCCGAGCTCAGGGAGTCAATGAAGAAATGCGACCAGTACAGCATTTAGTTGCTGATAAGAAAGGTAATCTGACTTCTTATTCAGTAGAAGACTCTAACAAGAAACAGAAGAGCAAATTTTGGGAGTGCCACATGGAGAACTGTGGAAAACTTTACATGGTCTGAAAAGCTGCCATCTTGAGGAGGCAAGAGGGAGTTGGAAATTACCTGTAAATTTGCTAGTTTTTGTTTGTTTGTTTGTTTTTTGTTTAAATAATTTGAAGAATACCTTAAGAGAAAGGTAGAGAAATAAAACAGAAAAGGTGATTAAAGAGAATGGAAAATCTTCCATTAAGAAGGATGTCAAGTATTTACTGTGTTTGTCAGATGCTATTTTGGGGGCATGAGGAGTCCTTAGGACACATGGAGCCTTGACGGAGTGTAAGTTGAGGTCAGCAGTGCAACAGAGCCATGAACGATGTTGTGCCGGGCATGACCCAAACCTTGTTTGATGTTTCTGCTTATGCCAATGAGACTGGTGTTACTGTGTGCTGCCCCGGTACCACTCAAAATTATATGGCTTTTTCTGAAAAGTGAGCTTCCTTCTTAATAAATATGACTTAGTATATTTAACATGTAAAGTATTTGGGGTGACCATCAAAATATTCAGAGCTTGAACACTAAAAAGCACACAAACCTTGAGATACTATGACTTTTCCCAAAGCTCTTGGCTGTAGAAACAAGGACATAAACTTCGCCAGATCTACTTTCCTTGGGAGATTTACAGACTGCCTTATGTCCACTTGAAGTGGGTGTCCCACATGAATGCCTTTGTTGTAGCATATTGGCAAGATAATATCTGTTTTTTTATGGAGACCAGGAAGTATGTGGAAGAGAGTGAAAGGCCAGGTGCTGTCCTTGATGTTCTGCTGCTTTCAGCTGAGCTTTCCTAATAAGAGCTGATCAGCTCTCACGGTGAACATCCAAGTAGCAGTGGATATTGCACAGTTTACAAAAAATAATTTTAAAGACTTGAATTTTTCAAGAAGCTGCATTGGAGTGCCAGAAAGTCACTAGGCTTGTTCTAATAAAAAAGCCCCACCCAAACTATTTGGCATTTCAAAAGCAACATCTTGTGTCCAGTTGTGTAGATACTATCAGTGGAAAAAATACTTTGTTTGCCCTGTGTAATCTCAAACGAAGACTATACTTTTATGAGAAATTTGGTTCCCAGAGCAGTTTACAGATTTCCTTGCTTGTAGCTCTAGGAAAAAAATCAGCACTTCAGTGAAAACGGTGTCCTAATTTCTGTGCTGAATTACAAATCTTCTGCCAGTTATACATCTTGTCAGAAAAAAAAGAAACAAATAAAGAAATGCTGACTTCTAAAGCTGAAGTTTGAAGTATCAGTTGAAAAAATCAGTAATATGTCTAATTTTAAAATCTTTCAGCTCTATCCTTGAGGCTTGTGAACTAAAAGAACAAAGAAATGTTTGAATAAAAAGCCTCAAGGAATTCTGGCAGACAAGACAAACTAAACATTCTTGCAACATGTCCCGGGTTTTTAGAGGTTGTTAGAAAAGGACCTTTGCTGAGAGTGACTAAATAAGTAAAGTATGAAAAAAATCCTGATTTTAAACCCAGTGAAACGCAATAATGACTTGCATCTTATCACTAACTGTGATTAAAATGTGACTCCTGAATTAATTTTTCAGTTAAAGCTGTTAAATGGACTCTGCAGTGCTGTTAGGGTCCATATTTAGAAATGGTAAACTTAATCCTGAAAGGACAAGATCTGGCATTTGGAGTTGCTTGGAGGAATCAGTTTTGCTCATGGTTGCACCTCTAGGAAGGGGAAGATTGAAGTCAGCCTGAGGGAGAGCACCAGGTTGGTTCAGCACCTGCATGAGGAGGAACCTTTGCGGTGTTGGACACGAATGGCATCCACTCTGAATGTGTCCTGCTGATGAGGGCTGTTTGCAGGGTGTTGAAGCGGGGCTGCTGTGTCTGTGTGCTGTAATCAGTGTCTGTGCACTCAGCCTCCTGCCAATGGGCCTCACAAGCTCTGTGCATCAACAAATGCCTCTTTCAGTGCCAGCTTGGCTGGTGATGCTGGTGTAGGGGACTGGGCAGAGGGGACTTCCAGTGTGTTTAAGCTGTACATAGCAGGACTCCTCATTCTCTGAGAATTGTCCCTAGATGGAGAAGTGGCACTTACCAGCACATTGATACAACTGCCACAGGAGGAAGAAGCCACCAGTAGTAATCCCCTTTGTCAGAGAAGACGGCCATGAGCAGTCCCACCAAGATCCCGTTATAGCCGTGCAGCCCAGCTGCGATGGCTGATCTGTGATGGAAAGAAATGTTTGCAAGGCAGAAAGCTGTGCTGAAGGTGACCTGTCGCAGGGACCCACTGACAGACAATTTAGCAGTGTCCTGCTCCTGGTGAAGGCAGTGT